TGGACCACCGTGAACCAGACGGATGCGGCGCTGATGGGCGTCACTGTGCATGATGCCATCAAGAGAGTCATGGAGACCAAGATCCGAGGCAAGGTTGAAGATTACCCGAGGTTGGTCAAGTACAGGAGCCTCCAGGAAAAGCTCGAGTCAGGAGATGAGGATGAGGCTCTGAGAATTGGCCAGAGCTTCGGCTGGGAGTTGGATGCGCTCAAGGTATGTCCGTCCCTTCCGATAGTTGGTTGGCGTTGGCCAAATATGGATACCAAAACTAACCTCATGCAGTTCATCATGGGCATGGAGATGATCTACAAGGAGCTACCCGGCAAGAAGTGGTACATCATCCTGGACGATGATACCTTTCTAGTCCGCCCTTCGCTGGAGCTCCTGCTGGGTCATGTCGACTACCGCAAGCCTCAGTACATTGGCAACGCCGTTGGGGACTTCAAGGCTCGCTTTGGGCACGGAGGATCTGGCATTCTCATCTCCGGAGAGGCCATGAGGCGCCTGTTTGAGCACCCGGGCATCGTCCAGGAAGCATACGCCGAGTCCATGACTGAGACGTGGGGTGACCGGCTCGTAGCCACAACGCTCCAGAAGCTGGGGATCTATATCGAGGAGAGCTACAACCATCACTTTAACGGCGAACCGCCGTCAATCACGCGCATCTGGGGCGACCGTTTCTGCTCGCCCCTGGTCTCTTTCCACGGCCTGCGCAAACCTGGCGAGATGCGCCACGTGGGGCAGACGCTCGCCGAGAGGAACCAGCCAGTGCTATGGCGCGACGTATGGGAACTGTTCGGGGGCTCTCCCATGTCGACGCTCGAGGGAAGACCGACCGAATTGACGGCCGACCATGTGGGAAAGCCTGACGAGCACACGCGTTCGTGGGGGGATGTGAGGAGCGCAAACGCCTGTCAGACGCGGTGCCAGCAGAGCGGTCGGCGGTGCTTGGCATGGACATACGAGATGGAGAGCGAGAGGTGTCACACGAGCCCTTGGGTTCTGCTGGGGGCGGATGGCGCTACGGCAAAGGCATCGGGGGTGAACTGGCCTGAGGTGAAGCCACTGCTCAGAGCCTGCTCATGATGGGGACGGTGAGCTTCTGCGCATCGCAGCTGAGAAAGGGAAGGGAGGATCCGAGAATTCAGTTCGGCTAGGGGCTCCATCCAGCTCAGCCCGGCTGTCGAATTCGAGTCCGGGACGAAGGGTATGGTTTGGGATGGGCTCCGGTGCATTGTTTTGCAAGGATAGGCGGCTTCGCCTGGCGGTATGGCACGCATGGAGTTCGTCAGACGGTGTATCATATCATGTATCATAGGTTGCCATAGGTTGTCATAGCTTGCCCCTTTTAGCGTCGACAGCAAAGCAAAAGCACGACGTCTCATTGGAACAGCATGCACGGCCGGGCTAGCGACTCAAGAGCCGACCGATTTGGATAACCGGCGTGGAGAGGGACACTGGAACGTGGATCCCCATCGTACGGAGGGGGCCGGGGGAGGCTACGGCGGTAAAGCCCGACCGACGTTCCAGGAATTCGGGAGCTAATCGCAGGCGAGTCACCAAGGCGAGATGGTGAGATGCGCGAAGGGGACGTGGTTGGCCAGACAGTCTGCAGCCCCTTGTTGACGGCTTTCGCTCGCTTGCTTCCCGCCGCGTCTGTCAACCGGGATGTTTGCTGATGGTTATGTGCCAGGATCCATCCATCCGTCCAGCGAGCGAGCGAGCGAGTGCTGAGGAAGCTGTGGTTGGATTGGGTTGGATTGGCGTCGGGTCGGCTGAGTGTGGAGAGGGTCTTCCTTTTGGTTCCATCAGATGGAGGTGTAGAGCTGAGAACTGAATCAGTCGCAGCAGCTGAAGAGGAGCTGCGAGAGTCAGTCAAACTCAGACATGGCTGAAGGCAAACAACGGTCGGCTGTGTCACTCTGACAGAGGTAGTCCAGGACCCGTTTTGGGCCCTTTTCCCTCCTGTTTAGGCATCTGCCCTCCTGGAGATGGAACAAGGCATGACGAGGTTACACAAGAAAGATGATAAGTACCAGGGGGTGTGAGAAATTGGAAGAAAGGGAAGAATCAAGGGAAGGGGAAGAAAAAAGGTTCCCAAAGGTCGGTCGGTCCAGGGGGGGAGATGAGATGAGATTGGGGGGGAGTGTGGGCAGCGAGGAAATTTGACGGTGGCTTGGCGGGTACCGTTGTACCTTTCCTCCATGTGCGTGCTGTGCTGTGCTGTGCTTGGAAGAACAGGGTAAAGCACACCTTCTGTAGAGATATCCATATGGAAATGTGCTGCTTCTCTCTTCTGTACAGTAATTATGACGCTAGAATGATGAGCCGAGGATCGGGGAATTTCTCTGGCGATCGGTACTGTACTGTAGGTTATGGCTGGATGGCTGGTGCTTGCTCGCCCCGTTCGTCAACCTCGCGTGTGCCCAACTGAGATGGATTCCCGTGAGATTGGATCAAAATGTGGGTTTGTAAAGGTTCTGGGTAGGTTCGCTGTCACCAGCTGGACGGGCTCGGGTAATTGAGTAGGTACATTAGCGTCTTGGGACCTCCTAGCCTCCCTGGGAGCTAAGGGTTTTAGGGACTCGTTCACTCGTGGGGTCCAGTGGCTTGCGGGGGATGGATGGGACCTGGAAGCAATGGATCCAATCGAGAGAAACAGGGCCCTGGCCTGACAGTTTCCATTTGTCTGGTCGTTGGACAGTTGAGGAACGAGCCCGATGGGCCCGATGCCAGCACGCCCCTTGTTGTTGGAGTAGGTTCCCACGTCCTGTCCACATCCACATCCACGTCCACGTCCACCCATGATTTGATTTGATTTGATTTGCGTATCGTAACCTGAAGGAGAAAAGAGAAAACAGAACCATACCTTTCTTTACTCATCTGGCCTGCCATTACCCGAACCTGGTCGGGTCGTCTTGTCTTGCGAAGTACATACCCCTAAGGTCCAGTCCAAGCGGACTTGCTCAGTCGTTCCCAGCTCACTCCTGAACCACCACCACCACGACGCACATACGACTTGTCACCGCCAAAGGCACGAATAGACGGATTTGTCGGGAGAAAAGGGGGGTGTGCGTTGTGTGTCCTCGATTGTTGGGTGGACGACCCTCGCGGCCCCTTGCTCCCTACGAACCATGAGTGGCACACAATCAAGCACGGGCGTGCGCCCTGCTATCAAAGCTCTTTCTTCGTTCACTCTCTGGTTCCTGGGTTTGCCCAGGCTTGTGCTTGTCCAGATGGAGTTTTGATGTTTTACCATGATGCATGCTCTGGGATTTCTTGTCAGACACCCATCTTTCCCTTCCCTTCCCTTTCCTTCCCGGTGCGACAAGAGATTACAGAAAAAAAAAACGGTCCCTGTTGGACGGGGACAAAGTGCGATTCGGCCCCGGAGGATGCTGATGCAAGTGGTTAATCCCGTTCATGGATCTCTCCCGGATCCATATCCTATCCAATGCCCACCCCCCTAGTCGCACTTGTGCTGAGCCGCGTGCCCTCTTCACAAAAGTCAGAAGCCAAGGAGTGCTACCTAGGTAGGTATGCTCGCCAGCTCCATGCCAAGAAAGGTCAATCCATGCTATATCCGCTGTCATGCCTTATGGACAGGGTAACTTGTTGTTTCGCAGAGGGAGCTTGGGTACGGTAGGTACCTGGCTACCGTATCTACCCAGCTCAGGGCCAGCTGCCAAAATAATGAGCTGCCGTTAGACTTGCCCAAGGGGGTAAAGCCTGGGTGAGGGAGGTTGCTTCCAAGGGACCAGCCTGCAGTTGGATTGGATGGAACCGTAGGTACCTAGATTCTCATGCCCTGATACAACCAAGACTAAGACCCTCCACTGCCACTGCCAGGATGGAAGCTCTGGAAAGCTTGAACGCCTTTATTGCTCGGATTAAAAAAACCCGACCGTTCAATCAGCTTGTCCATGCTGGTCGTTTGTGGCAGGAGCATGAGCAGGATGCGCCGCTAATGCAGCTGCCTTTCAGCAAAAGCCTCTCTGTAGCTCGAGCTGGAGCTTCTATTCTTCCGCGCGGCTGATTGCCCAAAGAGACGGGAGGGAGAAATAAAAAAAATTAATTAAAAAAAACTTATTTTTTTTTGTCCCCCAACCTCTTTTGAGCCTCGCAAAACATTAATCCGACTTGTTTCCCATCTTCAAACCTCCTTCTCCCCCCCCCGAGTGAGCAAGCGAGCGAGCGCAGCGCCCAGGTTGTATTCGGCCTCTTGTCTTGCCTGTTCCCACGATTGGAGACTAATTTTGCCCCCCCGTTCGTCTCCATTTGCCCGTTCCCCCTACCTCTCGCTTTTTTCTTTTCTGCCTAGGCTGGAATTCTTCTCACAGGGAGAAAAGAAGCTCGCGCGCTTGTTCGTCGAGTATCGATCGTTCCGCATGGCACATCGGCCTACCAAGCCCGGCCGTCCCCACTAGAAACTTACAATTTGCGGCCAACACCACCACCACGGTCACCACTCCCACCACCACTACCACTACCACGCGGCAGCCGGGCAGGGGGTAGAGTGAGAAGAGTGACCTCGATGTTCGACGACGACAGCGAGTCGATCCAATCCATCCCCCATCCCCGTTTGTTCCCGATCTCCTGGAGCCATCCTCTGTCTCCCGTCTCCGATCCCGCTCCCCATCCGCCTGTCGCAGTAGCGCCTCGTCACCTGTTGTTGGCCTTGGCCCAGTCCACCATCACGGCTTTTGCCTCTTGCCTCTGCCGCAGGCGCATCGCAAGCCGCATCGTATCGCACTCACAACGGTAGCTTGCTTGTACGGGGCCCGCTGCTCTCGGCCCTGGTTCCGGAGACGAGACCTGCCCCTCTTGCACGCCTCTTGTCCCCCTGCTGCTTCCACGCCCTGGGCTGGGCTGCTGCTATTCACCTTCCCTGCCCAGCACCAGGTCCTCCTCCGTGGCCTAGGGTCGCTTCCCCCCGGTCGCCTCTCGTTATTCCTGACTCTTGCCTCGTGGCTCCATAAAAATTTCTAATTAAAAACAACATGGCTCAAGAAGTCCAAGGGCAGAGTCACGGCGACTCTCCCAGCAATCCTCTAGTTTCTGCTCCGACGTCGACATCTCCCTCTCTAGCTCCCATCGCCGCGTCTGCTGCTCCCCCAGCATACGCCGCCAGTTCAGCACCTGTAGCTGCAGCCGATACGACCCTCCCGTCCCTCGCCGCCGCCATTGCTGGCACCTCTTCCTCAACACCACCGGATAACCCGACCGCCTCGACCGCCTCCGCAGCTCTTCCCTCCGCACCCGTGCCCGCCGCCGACCCCGACGTCACCGCTGCCTCATCCGCACCGACATCTACGCCGGCCTCGGCTGCTGCTGTCTCTGCTGCCCCGTCCGCGGTCCCTCAGCAGAACGGCGACAGCAGGGCTTCCGAGGGTGCTTCGACGCCCTCGTCCAATCCGGAAATGTCCAACCAGCACCCAGGAGCTCCCCATGGCCAGCCTGTGAGCTATCCGGGTCCCTCGACGCCGTACGCCACGACGGTTGGCGCGACCACCGCCCAGTATGCTTCTTATCCTGCTGTGACGAGTCAACAACAGATGGACGCATATCGACCAAACCCCATGCCCGTTGGGAGCAACGTCATGTCACTACCGAGCATGCGTACGATCGATCCGGTCCCCCAACAACCGGGGCCGTCCGTGACGAATCCTCAGGGCATGCAGATGAGCATGCCCATGGCGCCTGTGTCGGGAGGTTTGCCATACTATGGCCACCATGGAATGCCGATGGCTGCGGGTTACGGGATCCCCTCGGACCCCATGTCTCGATACGCTCTCCCGCACGATCCGCGACTGCTGGGACATAGGGGGCCAAAAAAGGTGTGTTAGAAGCTCAAAGCTCGACCTGTCGAGGTCTTTTGCGAAAATACGGTGAGAAGAGTGAGCTGACGCGGGATTCATCCGTGGTAGGAAATTAAGCGTCGGACCAAGACAGGATGTTTAACCTGCCGAAAGCGCAGGATCAAGGTAAGCTGTGATTTCATCGTTGTTGAATTCCTCTTGCGGCTCAAGGCATTGCCCTACGTGACGAGACGAGACGCGGTTTCTTGGGAGGTTGGGCTGGGAGGGGGAAAAGGGAGCAAGATACACATCCAGCGAGCCACGGCCGGTCACAAGCTGACCGAGATGGTTGCATTGTACTGGCGGTTCCTTGCAGATTTGCTCGTTTGCCATGGAGCTACAGCAGAAGCGAGCAAGACTCAAACTCACGTAGCGTCCGTGGCCAATGTTTCTTCCTCCCAGTAGAGCCTCCCTCTGTCCGAGACAATGCGCGCCCCAAGCTCGCCCAGGTTGCAAGCTTACCTCGCAAGTAAGCCACTGACGGAGAAACCGTTTGGAGGCCGTTTGCTGAGCTTTGCTGAGCTTGCCATTGGCCGTTTTGTCTTGTCGTGTCGCGCCTTGTGCGGCGTCTCGCATGCTGCGGCACTGCCAGCCAGCTGCTGCTGCTGCTGTTTACCCACCTCGCCCTCGCCCTCGCCCTACCTATTTTCTTTCTCTGGTGGATGCCCACCCCGCCCAACACCAATCTCTAACATATTCTGTGCCAGTGCGACGAGACTCATCCTACCTGCAACAACTGCAAAAAGTCAAAACGCGAGTGTCTCGGCTACGATCCGATCTTTCGACAGCAACCGGGTGGTCAATCGTCGTCAAATATTCAGCCTGCGCCCTCAAGCCAACGCACTCCACCCGCGATACCGAGCTCTATCCCCTCGACGATCCCCTCGTCAATCGCGACCAACCCAGGCCTACCTGCACGGGCGACCAACTCCTACGGTAGTCAGCCGTCTATGCTCCCGAGCTCCTACGCTACTGCACACGTGACCACTGCCAGCCCCAACCCGTCCATCACGTCGCTCAGCTACGAGTCCAGCCTCTCCACTGTCGCGTCTCCTCCCATCAAGTCCGAGTCCGGATACGAATACTCATCCGCAATCGATCCGGCACTGCAAAGCCTAGCTTCATCAGCGATCCAGGACGGCTCAAGACCAGTTGACCAAAAGCCTCTGGACAACAACCTGCATCTCAGAGGTGGCGCCCCCTACTTTTGATTTTCCCCTCGTTCGTCGTTTGCTGCGCTGCTGTGAGAACATCCGCTTACGCATGTTTTCGACAGCCAAGAAAATGAAGATCGATGAGATTATCGACCTCCTGGGCGCAGCCCCACCTACCCAACAGACGGCTCAAACTGAGGAAGTCCTTAATGAGGTGACCAAGGTGTATCATGAGATGTACGCACCCGGGCTGAGCTCCTTCTTTGAGACCGGGTGGTACTACTTTGCGGAGAGTGGAAAGATGTCGTTTCCTCGGGACCCACGCTTGGTGGACTTGATGGCGTCGTTTCTCAACATCCTGGAGGCCGTGAGGGCCAACGACCATGCCCAGATGGCGTATTCTGGTATTCTCGAAACACGCATTGTGTGGGAGCTTGCTCGGACCTCTTACCAGTCCCCTGACCAGGCACCTCCCATGGGTGCCATGGCACTACCTCGAGATGGTGACGCGAACGAGGCTAGGAACCGCGTCAAGGTTGTGGAAGCACTCTTGTGTGGTGACTATCTACAGGCCAACCCCCTTTGCCCGCCTTTGCAGGATGTCGACCCTCACCGGACCCGTCAGTTTGATTTCTGGTACAATCTTGCAGAATTTGTTCGCATACGCGAGAACCCAACACTACAGCCGGCCGTCAAAGCCAGGGACGATGTTCTAACCCGGTTGCGTTATCTTCTTGATGGCCGCGAGAATCGAGATGTTCTCTACTCGATTGCTGTTGTCCGGGAACTTTCGCCTCACTTTGACCCTAGTTATGGCAACACAATTCCGGCGCACCTGGACGAGAGCGACCCCAAGAACAGGCTCGCAGTGGCCTCCAAGTTTATTCTGGACGAGTCTCAAGTCACAGGAGGCACAACCAACGTGGTACGGCGGTTTAGCGATATCGCTTACAGATCGTTTGTCAACCCGGGCGTCAACGTTACTCGGAGGACTTAGGCAGCAGCCGAGGCCGCTTGAGCGGCTATACCATACATACCATTGTCCGAGCTGGATTGTGGACGAGAACCGGTTTCGAAATATCACCTTCAGATTAATTTTCTTATGTTTAAACAGAGTTGGAGTCGACTCGCCTGTCACTCTTTTCACCCACCTTTCCTATCAAAAGCACCACCTTGTTACTCTGGAGCGGCTATCTCGCTTGAATTCGTTGCATCGTTTGGGAGGCATGGCGAGGGGTTCACATAAAAGTTTCTTTGTCTGATTGTTTACTTGTTTGTTTGCTTTGGGCGTTTGTTCCCTACGGGGATGTGGGAGGCACTTTGTCTTTTCTTTATTCCCCCAAAGTTTGGACGGCCTACAGAGTTATTGGCCGAGGCGTTTGCAGAAAGTAATGGCCTAGACTGGCAGAGTTGTACAACTAATGCTCCTGCGACACGGCAGTGAGGGAGAAGGAGGCGGCATTCTTTTTTTTTCTTTTCTTTTCATTCTTGTTTTGGGCAGAGAAAAGGCACTGGTAGAGACTGAACATGGAGCGATTTCTGCAAGGAAAGGGATACCACACAGCTTGGAGGAATTCTAGAAGCCACGCAGTGGCAGCCATACCCATGTACGATATGACGGCCGTTTGAGCGTGCAAGGCAAGACAAGGCGAGGCAAGGCAGAGCAAAGCAAAGCAAGGCGATGTGGAGGTGTAAGAGATGTGAAGGAATAGACAAGCGGCCTAGGCCATGTTTCCGGGAGAGCGATGTGGGTGTAAGATTGCCTGCCTAGTCCGCCTTGCCAGCAATGGTTGGTTGATTAGCTTTGGTTGAGACAGCTCTGTTGTTGTGTCGTGCGTAGCCTTGCAACTCTCCGAAAGAGTCAAGGATCTGGGATGTTGACACCACCAAGTAGCCAACGGGACAAGGTCAGCCCCACGATCAGTCAGCTTGTCCTGCGAGGAATACGAGCACCTACCTGAAAACCACTAGCTTCGGAGGAGAATAAGATCCTTTGTAAATCAGATGTGACTGTACGTTATCGGTGAATCATGCCTAGCCCTGTCATAGTATATGAGATTCCTTCCGCCTAGAAATATGGCTGGAAACTCACAACTGACAACCACCGTCACTGGTCGCTCTAGACTACGTGATTGATCAACCAACCTTGGCTCGAGTCCCATATTACTTGTCCTAGGTATCCCCGTCCAAGATGGCGGGTCCTACAATACTATCCTCGCCCTCACCCCCTAGTGAGGAGGCCGGAACTATCCTCTTGGAGACGGAGCGGCTCATCATCCGCCGATACTTCCTCTCCGATGCCCCGGCAATGGCCGAGACGGGCAACGACACCTTGGTCACGGCCAATCTCCGAGCGGGGTTCCCATCGCCATATAGACTATCAGACGCTGAGGCCTTTCTCTCCACGGCGTGCAAACCCGATGGCACGGCCTACCCACAACACAACGGCATCTTTGTAAAGCCCCTCACGGCGGACAACCCATCCCCGGAGCCGCGCTTCATCGGTGCTGTGGGAATCATTCCCAAGGGCGACGTCTACTTTCGGACTTGGGAGCTGGGTTATTGGTTGGGTTCTGCTTCGTGGGGCAAGGGATATGCAACTGAGGCGATCGGACCGTTTGTGAGGTGGTGCTTCGATACGTGGCCTGGGCTGAACAGGATCGAGGGGGAGGCGTACGGGAGCAACGAGGCGAGTCAGAAGGTCATGAAGAAGTGCGGGTTCATTGAGGAGGGGACGAGGAGGGGGGCAGCGGAGAAGCTTGGTGTGCTGAAGGATGTGGTTAACTTTGGGTTGTTGAGGAGTGACCTTGAGGGGGTGAAGGAGTTGGTGAGAGATTCATGATGGGTTTGGGGCATAAGAAAGGAGTTGACTAGGAATAGAGGCATATGGACTTGGCAGGCTTGGTTTGTGTGTTAGCCAGTCGTGAGGTTATACATGGAGTATGTCAAAGTGGCTGACACAATTATTGATTCACCTCTTGCGCTATACTCATACTAAAGTGTGTTGTACATTTTAGTCGGATGACTATCTCATTCCTACTGAAACACGATTGGTTACTGATACAAGTCGAACTTTTAATCAATTGTACTATACCTGATTAGAAGGGTGCTTGATTGCATTACGCATAGACTTGGACTTGGTTGAGTAGTGGCGATTTCCCAACTGCTCAGTACATAACGTTATGTGGATGACGCTGTACATGGGAGATGACTAGACAGGAAGTCTGCTGCACATCTCCTTGCTTGCGCGAGGACTACCAGAGCGTACTCATCTCCACCATTAGAGCACTATCTAAACCTTTATAAAAATCATACAAGAATAGGTTAATCCCTTATCTTAATTTTGGTGAGCCTAGGAAGAGACTTATCATAATTGGTCTAGATCCCAGCTCAGTACATAATGGCAGTCTCCGCGCAAGCAAGGAGATTGTAGAAGGAGTATAGGCCCAGAAGTACTACTGCTGCCTCAATTCTATTCCAATAATGTACTATATATCAAGAATAATTTTCTTCAATTTTCCCCGAGCTTTACAGACACATTGCCATGTCCATCAGCTCTTGGCCGAGATGGATTGGACAATTGGTGAAGACGGACGCTCGGGTAATTGTATAAAAACGAACGAGTAATGGTCGGTCGTTGATTGGTCAAATCCCCGCATCAACAATAGTCCGGCCCACCACCAAGAGCAAAGCTCCCAGGTTTCAACAGAGATCCCCGGACCGCGGGAGATGACGGGCACAACCACCAAGGCGAATTCCCCTCCATCAACCAGCCATTGACCTCGAGCCAGAGGTCCTCCTGGGAGACTCTCTTAATCTCGCCTCACTCACGGCCGACCCTCCCTCTCCGCTCCTCTCACAATGGCTTCCCTCAGACTCGCCAGCCGAGGCGCCCAGAGCCTGTGTCGAATGCGGCCCGCTGCCCTCGCCGCTCGCCCCTTCTCGACGACCTCCCTACGAAAGTACGCCGCTGCCGAGCCCGTTGGCACCAGGCTTGTCCCCGTCGATGAGGACTTTGCCAATCCTAACGATCCCTACGGCCTGTCCCGCCAACTACCCAGTGGCACCAGAAAGTCGCGCGAGAACTCGGTTGAGGACCGCAAGGTCCGACACTACACTGTCAACTTTGGTCCTCAGCATCCCGCCGCCCACGGCGTGTTGCGTCTGATTCTCGAGCTCAATGGCGAGGAGATTGTCCGCGCCGACCCCCACGTCGGTCTGCTGCACCGAGGTACCGAGAAGTTGATCGAGTACAAGACATATCTCCAGGCCCTGCCTTACTTTGACCGACTCGACTACGTCTCCATGATGACCAATGAGCAGTGCTTCGCCCTCGCCGTCGAGAAGCTACTCAACATCGAGATTCCCGAGCGAGCCAAGTTCATCCGAACCCTCTTCGGCGAGATCACTCGTGTCCTCAACCACCTGATGTCCGTCCTCTCTCACGCCATGGATGTTGGTGCTTTGACGCCTTTCCTGTGGGGTTTCGAGGAGCGTGAGAAGCTCATGGTAGGTCAATGGCGGGCAATTGGTTGAGAATGACAGAAATTGACCAATATCAAGGAATTCTACGAGCGTGTCTCGGGTGCCCGTCTCCACGCCGCCTACGTCCGACCCGGTGGTGTTCACCAGGATATCCCCGTTGGTCTTCTCGACGACATTTACCAGTGGGCCACACAGTTCGGCGACCGTATCGACGAGACCGAGGAGATGTTGACCGACAACCGTATCTGGATTGAGCGATTGAGAGGTGTTGGTGTCGTTCCCGCCTCCGAGGCGCTGAACCTCTCCTTTACCGGTGTCATGCTCCGAGGTTCCGGCGTGCCGTGGGATATCCGAAAGAGCCAGCCCTACGACGCCTACGACCAGGTCGAGTTCGACGTCCCCGTTGGAACCAACGGAGACTGCTACGACCGATACCTCTGCCGAATGGAGGAGTTCCGACAGTCCCTCCGCATCATCCACCAGTGCCTGAACAAGATGCCCGCCGGCCCCGTCCGCGTCGAGGACTACAAGGTCTCGCCTCCTCCCCGATCCGCCATGAAGGAGAACATGGA